CTCCCCGCGCCCGCGCGGCCACTTCCCCCTGGCGCTCTGCTCACGGTGCCTGCTGACTTCCTCTGGGACCCTTAGCAAAGCCAAACACTGTTTTTGAGGTCTGGAAAGTAAAAAAACAAAACAAAAAAACCGTGTTTTAGCCACAGGCTCTACTGCCAAGATGCTGATCCCCAAAGCCCAAAAGTCACTGGGAGAATTGGGTGAGTTATTGGGAGCACGCAGTAGTGGATGGTGGTGTGCGCTTCTCCGGCGATGCTGAGGGATTCCAAGGTGCTCTGTCATGCAGCTGACCCAGGAGGAAGACCCTTCGTTCATTCCTTCCTTCCTTCCACATGCCAGGCACCCTGCTAGGCTCTGGGAACAGGCACTAGCCCTGCACGCAGTGAGTATATACAGTCTAGTGGGGGACGCAAACATTAACCAATCTCACAAATAAATGCATCACTACAACTGTAAAAAATGTTCCAGAGGAAATAAGCAAAGGTGCCTGATGCTAAGGTACTATTAACAGGCCAGGTATATAACAGGACAGGTGGCTGAGTAAAGAACGGGAGGAATTAACCGAGGTGGAGGGTGCAGGACTTGGGTAAGGGGGAAAGCGTTTCAGAGGACAGCCTTGCATGGCCAGAAGACTGCCCAATTCCGTTGACTAAAGAAAATCTCCACTGTGGGTTTTGACCCCTAGAGGGAGGAGCCAGAAATGGAAGGAGAGGATGCTGATGCTGATTAAATCAATGGGGCCCTGGCTTTGTGGCCAAGGTCGCCAAACTATGCAATTGACCATACTTCTGAGGCTGGTAAGGCCAAGAAAGGATACACTGAGGAAGAAAGTTGGAACTGGGCATTGGTAAAGGGGGAGGAGTTTTCCAGAGGGAAATGGAAAAGTTTTCCAAATCCATGTAACTTATGTGAAGGGACAATCACAAAAGAGAAGACTTGCCTGCACCCAAACTGAATGGGGTGATGGGAGGTAGGGCTTCGCTGAGCAGACTGGCCACAGTGAGCAAAGAGTGACCAGGGACAACACTTCTGTCCCAGCAAAAAATGAAGCTGTGAACCAAAAAAGTGGCTACAGACTTGGAGAGGAGGGTCTTGGAGACACCAGGAGCAACTGCTGCAACTGGAGGGAAATCAGTGGGATTAGGGAGGGTGGGATGTGAAGGAGGGTGAAGAGCCAAGGCTGAGGTTGACAAAGGAAACAGCATTAGCTAGCGTTTTTAAGCGCCTGCTCTGAACCCGCCGTGCACATCACCTCACCAGTCCTTGCAGAAACTCTGTGAAGTGATACAATTATTATCCCCATTTCATATATGTGGCAACTGAGGCACAACGAGGTCAAATAGCTTGCCCAGCTGCAAAGTGGCAGAGCCAGGATCCAAGCCCAAGCCCAGGGCCATTGCTGTGCTCTAAGGCCTATTCTGAGATTTCCAGCTTGGTGAATGGTGATGGCTAGGGAGCACCTGAGAAGGAAAGGGAAATCCCAGTTTTGGAGGCATTTTCTGTGAAGCGCCTGGGGCCAGGCAGAAAACAGCTGGAAATGGGGAGGCTGCAGATCGTGCCCCAGGGGTGGGGCTCTTCCGGTCAGGGTAGGGCTGGGCCATGCTTTTGGAGCAGATTCCCTGGAGTCACAGGATAGGGGCCTAGGAGGTGAATTAATAAGGAACAGCAAAAAGGAGGGTTCTTTTTAGAGCCGCCATTTTGAGATTTGTCTATTTCAATTCAATTAAGGCAAAACTCAACTTTACAAGGTAAAATATAGAACATACTTTAAAGACCTAAGATTTCAACCAACTAAATGGAAAGGGTATACATGAAGCAAACTCATGGTACATACAAAAGTGTAGGCATATAGTGACATCTGATCTTACCAGGGGTAGGTTCTAAACTTTGCCCTTAAAGAAAAAATGTGTAACTACTAAAAATTATTGTTTCAAGATTACCCTTGAAAATCCTTTGAATTCAAATTCTTTGAATTGTATCCACTGTTTTGTTCATACAATCCTGTACCTGATATATATGTGTAAATTTTCAGCACATGATTCAGCTTACTTACACAAAATACAGTATTTCATTGTTCCTAATCACATTATTTGAACTGCAGTTTTTCACATTTTTTTTTGAGGAGGGGAAGGTCAAGAGAGTTCAGTTTCGCTCCAGTTTGGAGCTAAATTTTCATTTTCACAAGCAATGCATTGGGCCTAGCCTCTGGCCTTGTACTGGGTTATAAAAGATACCAGAGTCACTTTTTGGCCCCAAGGGGAAGCAGCAGCATGGGGGCGAGATGTCAATGTTCCTGCTCCCCAGAACCTCTCGGCCTCGCGGAGAACTTGCCAATGTGGACGTGAAAGTTCCAAACACCCTACTTTGCAGAAACCAAATGTTGGCTCCCTGATATCCCCAGTCCTCCTCCTGCCCGACAGCATTTTGTCGTCTGAAAATGACAGACATTTGGCCCAGTGCTGACAGGGAGTTACCTTATATACCAGCGGGTGCCCAGGACAGAGTGTCCCCTGAAGACACCACACACCTGTAGGGTGTCGAAGTGTTGGGGCCCTCAAGCTCGTCCATTAGAAGCAACTTCTGCCTCTGGAGTTCTCTC